AGCTTCCTGTTAGCAGGCTGTTAACTTTAGGCTAACTGTTAGCGAACCATGAGCTCCCTGTTCGAAAATTGTTAACTTTAGGTCAACTGTTAGCTAACTATGAGCTCCCTGTTAGGAGGCTGTTAACTGTAGGCTAGTAGTTAGCTAACTATGAGCTTGCTGTTAGCAGGCTGTCAACTCTAAGTTAACTGTTAGCTAACTATAGGCTCGCTGTTAGCAGGCTGTTAACTGTAGGCTTTTAGGTTAACTGTTAGCTAACTATGAACTCCCTGTTAGCAGGCTGTTAACTTTAGGAAAACTGTTAGCTAACTATGAGCTCCCTGTTAGAAAACAGTTAACTTTAAGAAAACTGTTGGCTAACTATGAACTACCTGTTAAAAACTGTTAACTTTAGGCTAACTGTTAGCTAACTATAAGCTTGCCGTTAGCAGGTTGTCAATTGTAGGCTAACTGTAAACAATCTGTTAGCTAACTGTCCCCTGTTAGCTTATAGGTTTCTCTGTTTTTCTGGATGCTGCATGTGCAGATTTCCCACAAATTCCTGATCCTAACTTATGTTGTATGGTTTGTAAGGGGCTTTAGGAGAAAAATCTCATATTTAAAAGATTTAATAAAGACATTTTACATTGATTAGAGCATCAAATGACGCACGTACGTTTGTGTTTTTCAGGAGCGTTTAAGACGCTGGATAAGGACAACAATGGAACCATTAACCTGGACGTCAAGGAGGTGAAACACAGTCCATCCATTATCCTAACCCCTTATTCCCTAATGAGGTCGGGGGGGGTGGAGCCTATCCCAGTAGCCAATGGGGAGAGGCCCAGAGTGCCCAGTCTTATGTCTTTTCTTTTCTTTTTTTTTTAAAAGCTAGCTTTTAGTCATATTGTTAGCTGTAAATCAAACTCATAGCATTGTTCCCCCTCTAAAGTTGCTAACAGATGCTAACAGATGTTAAAAAATGCTAACAGATGTTAACAGATGTTAACAGATTCTAACAGATTTTAACAGATGCTAACAGATGTTAACAGATGCTAACAGATGCTAACAGGTGTTAAAAGATGTTAACAGATGCTAAAAGATGTTAACAGATGCTAACAGATGCTAACAGATGTTAAAAGATGCTAACAGATGTTAAAAGATGCTAACAGATTTTAACAGATGTTAAGAAATGTTAACAGATGCTAACATATGCTAACAGATGCTAACAGATGCTTAAAGATGCTTACTGATGTTAACAGATGTTAACAGATGCTAAAAGATGCTAACAGATGTTAACAGATGCTAAAAGATGCTAATCAGAATCAGAATCAGAATAATGTTTATTGCCAAGTAGGTTTTTAGACTTACTTGGTGTTTGGTGCACAACACAACACTTCTATGAGAAGCAAGAAATGAAATGTAGAAATAAAAATATAGGAAAGATGCTAACAGATGTTAACAGGTGCTAACAGATGTTAACAGATGTTAACAGATGCTAACAGATTTTAACAGATGCTAACAGATGCTAACAGATGCTAAAAGATGCTTACTGATGTTAACAGATGTTAACAGATGCTAAAAGATGCTAACAGATGTTAACAGATGCTAACAGATGTTAACAGATGCCAAAAGATGTTAACAGATGTTAAAAGATGCTAACAGATGTTCACAGATGCTAACAGATGCTAAAAGATGCTAACAGATGTTAACAGATGTTAAAATATGCTAACAGATGTTAACAGATGCCAAAAGATTGTTAACAGATGTTAAAAGATGCTAACAGATGCTACCAGATGCTAAAAGATGTTAACAGATGCTACCAGATGCTAACAGATGTTAAAAGATGTTAACAGATGCTAACAGATGTTAAAAGATGCTAACAGATGTTAAAAGATGCTAACAGATGCTAACAGATGTTAACAGATGGTAACAGATTCTAACAGATGTTAAAAGATGCTAACAGATGCTAACAGATGTTAACAGATGCTAAAAGATGCTAATCAGAATCAGAATAAGGTTTATTGCCAAGTAGGTTTTTAGACTTACTTGGTGTTTGGTGCACAACACAACACTTCTATGAGAAACAAGAAATGAAATGTAGAAATAAAAATATAGGAAAGATGCTAACAGATGTTAACAGGTGCTAACAGATGTTAACAGATGCTATCAGATGCTATCAGATGCTAACAGATGTTAACAGATGTTAACAGATGTTAACAGATGCTAAAAGATGCTAACAGATGTTAACAGATGTTAACAGATGCTAACAGATTCTAACAGATGTTAAATAAAGATGCTAATCAGAATCAGAATAAGGTTTATTGCCAAGTAGGTTTTTAGACTTACAAGGAATTTGCCTTTTTGGTGTTTGGTGCACAACACAACACTTCTATGAGAAGCAAGAAATGAAATGTAGAAATAAAAATATAGGACAGATGCTAACAGATGCTAACGCTAGCTCCTCTTTGTCTCTCAGTGGCTGCAGCTGACCATGTATTCCTGAACGGCTTATTTCTGCCCGCTAACTGGACCAAAGGGACCAACAAACCGGGACCAAACCCCAGAGAGAGCTTCCTGCTGCTCACATTTATACGCTACGACTAAAAGAAACGTTTTACCTTCTACCAGGCTGAAGCTGTTAATGAAATCCATTTTAAATGTTTGAGGAAATAAAAAGAGAAGTTGGTGTTTACTCGGGTTGTGGTGCTTGTTTTTTCTTTAGCTAATCGGCCTAAAATAAAGGCAGAAATGAGCTTCTATCCTTCAATTTTGTTTAATTTTAATTAGATTTTCATTTAAAAAATAATCATTTCTATTTAGTTTGCATCACTTGACACAGTTGAAAATATCTTTATACCTTTATATCTTTATAATAAATTACTTGGTTTGTCCTGGAGTTTCATTTTCCCTAAATTTTACTTGAATTTTCCTGTTTTATATGAGAGCATTTTTTGGTAAAAATGTAAAAAAGTAGACCTCTAAATCTGTAGGGATGACTGGATTTGGTTATCTCTGAGGTAAAATAAAGGAAAAGCATGAGAGGAACTAAAGAGGCTGGACGGAAAAAAACAGAAATAAAGAAACCAGATGGCAAAAAACTCAAAATAAAGTAATCAACGTAAGAAAAACCCATTTAAAAAAAACAAATTACTTAACAGAAACACATCTAAATCAAACTGAAAGCATAAAAACTGGCGTCCAGCAACACCAGCTGCAGGGAAATCACTTTAATTATTTATTATTTCAGCCAATAGGGCAGCGGGTTTATTATCCGGAGAGATGAGGTGCGTTCGTTTCGGGTGGGGCCGGAGCGGAGGGGCGGGGCGGGTGGAGGTGGAGGAAGAGGAGGAAGAGGAGGAAGAGGAGGGGGGGGTGATGCTGAGGAGGGATGAGAGAAGAGGAGCAACAGGCGTCGGTTTAAAGCGGAAAATCCTGATAAAAAGCGCCAGAAAAACCAAAAGGAACCAATTAAAGGTGGGAGCGTCTTTTTCTGTTTGAGCAAATCCGGTAAAATCTCCGGGAAAAAAAGGAAAACAATCATCTTTTTACGTTTAAACTCGTCGTATGAAACGTAAGCTTGGAGCTTTGCTTGTTCAGGTGGGAGGAAGGACGCGAACACACGTTAAATATTCTCTAATTAAAGGAAAATCCCGTTTTTTAATCAACGTTTTAAAGTGCCCTGAACGCACCATTAGCGTGTTTTTGCTTTTTTCTTCCGTCAAAAAGTGGAAAAAGTCGACCCAAATAAAAGAGTTTACTCAGTAAAACCCTCCAGAAATGACTGAAGCAGGAAATATTGTTGTTTTAAAATGTTTTTTATGTTTTTTTGCGGAGGTTTGTGTTGTTTTACAGGCGTTTTTTTGTGCTTTTTGTGTGTTTTTAGTGCATCAGGTGCAGCTTTGTGGACTTCCCCTCCTCTTTGTTTGTTGTTTGCTGACCCAGCCTCTAAAGCCAGTAAATCAGTTTCCAGATCCTCCTCTGCTCCTTCCTTTTCTCCCTTAAACCTAATTATGAAGCAGCCTGTGTTTTTTCCAGTGTGTGAGTGGGGGGGGGGAGATGCTTAATCATCAGAAAAAATCATAAATTCAACACCAAGATGGACCCTAATAACATCCAATCATTTAATTAAAGGCACAGAGAAGTTTTAAGACTTCAGGTTAATTTATTTTCTATATTTTTTACTGTGATTTGGGGTTTGGGTACTTCAGGGATCCATTCTGGGCCCGTTTTATTTCTTATTTTGATTAAAAGTCAGATTTTTTATGGTTGGTGGCACCAGTATTGAACTGGAAGGGGATGATAGATTTATTATTTTGTTCAAAATTAAGATTTTTTATGGTTCATGGCACCAATATTGAACTGGAAATGGATAATAAATGTATTATTTTGTTTAAAAGTCAGATTGATATGGTACATGGCACCTATATTGGCTGGAAATGGATAATAGATTTATTTTTTATTTTTTAATTCAGATTTTTATGGTATTTTATGTGTTTTTAATGGAACATGGCACCAACTGGAATTGAATAATTTAACGTTTCTGGGAGTTTTCTTATTTTTGAGCTGTTTGAAACCTTATTTAAAATGTTCATAAACACTGTTTCTACCAAATTGAGTCTATATAGAAATTCACCCTTTTTGTATACTTATGAACAAAATGTCAAATTTAAAACTGACCAAGTGATTTTCAAGAAAAGAAACAATTAACTTCCAATTATAATTCATAATTGATCAATGATAAGTCGAAATAAACTGATTGGATAAATTTCCTCACCTTCTGGACCCTAAAGTCCCCACAGATTTCCAGCTAACGCATTTATTCCATAATTATTTCTGCTTTTTCTCAAAACAATCTCCATAATTGCCTCACAAATGTGAGATTTCTGTTTTATTTTGGGCAAAATCTGATAATTTTTCATATTTTCTTGGATACTTTCCTGACCCTGGTGCCCTATATGTGGGATAAATGGTGATAAATGGTGATAAATATACATATTTGTACCTTTAGCCCTAAAGTTACATTTTAATGCCTTCCTGGTGACTCTAAAGCTCCAATCAGATCGTTAACGAGACACAATTGAATTAAACTTGAACTCAAACCCACAGTTACTGGATCTGTTTTATAGTTTCAGCTTCCCGCCGACGCTCTGATCTCCGATTGTCTCGAACACATCGGACCCTCAGCGGCGCCCCCCCATGGCGAGCGGCGGCGGGAACCCCCCCGCCCCCACCGAGCAGGAGGAGCTAACGAGGAGGGCCAATCAGGTCACAGATGAGGTCAGAACGCTCCCAACAGTTTATCCTCATTATTTAAACCTACTTTTTCATCCTCATGTTTTATCCTCATTTTAAACCTTGTTTTTCATCCTCAAGTTTTATCCTCATTTTTAATAATATTTCATCCTCATTTTCAATCCTAATGTTTCATCTTCATGTTTCTGCCTCATGTTTTAACCTAGTTTTTAATCCTCATCTTTTATCCTCGTGTTTTATCCTAATGTTTCATTCTCATGTTTTATCCTCATTTTTAATCCTCATTTTCAAACTTAGTTTTTAATCCTCATGTTTATGCCTCATGTTTTAACCTCTTTTTATCCTCATTTTTTAACCACATTTTTAATCCTCATGTTTTATCCTCATTTTTAATCTAATTTTAATCCTCATTTGTAAACCTCGTTTTTAATCCTCATTTTTCATCCTCATTTTAATAATAATTTTGATCCTCATTGTTATTCCTCGTGTTCCATCCTCATTTTATCCTCATTTTTAATCCTAATTTTTTAATCCTCGTGTTCCATCCTCATGTTTTATCCTCTTTTTATCCTCATTTTTTAACCACATTTTTAAACCTCATGCTTCATCCTCAATTCTGTTCTCATGTTTTCTCCTCATCTTTAATCCTCGTGTTTTATCTGAATGTTTCAGCTTTTCAAACTTGATTTTATCCAGAAGAGACTTTTCTTTTCTTTCTTTTGGGAAATAAAAACAGAATCAGTTTGAGTCCAAACTTTTCCAGTTAAATCAAAATTAAGAATTAAGAATTGGTTTCCTGTCTGAGGGAACCGATACCTGTTCAGACCCAGAACCAGAACCAGAACCAGCTCAAGATCCAGATCCAGAACCAGAACCAGATCAAGAGCCAGCCAGAACCAGAACCAGAACCAGAACCAGATCCAGATCCAGATCCAGATCAAGATCCAGAACCAGATCCAGATCCAGAACCAGAACCAGAACCAGATCCAGAACAAAATCCAGAACCAGATCCAGATCCAGATCCAGAACCAGAACCAGATCCAGAACCAGAACCAGAACCAAAACCAGAACCAAAACCAGAGCCAGAGCCAGAACCAGAACCAGATCCAGATCCAGATCCAGAATCAGATCCATCTTCTTCCTGAACCTAGACTCCATGATCCATGAAGACTTGATGAGGTCAGCGTCTCAGCATCTTCAGGGGCAACGCCCCCTAGCGACGCCCATAGCAACGCCCATAGCAACGCCCCTAACGACGCCCGGCACACCTGGGAGGCAGCCGGCCCCCAGAGAAACACCCCCCCGCTCTATTTTTACCACAATATCTTTATTTATTTCACACCGAGCAGGATCACAAAATAACACAAATAATAAACATGAATCACTAATGAAAGACAGGAATTTAAATTATACCTAAAAAAATTTAAATAAAATAAAATAAATAATTAAGATTAAAAAATAAATAATTAAAACAATAATAAAATGATAAAAATGAAATAAATTAATTCAAGTAAAACCGATTTATACTTTAAAAAAATAAAAAGGAAAGAAAATGACTAAATAACTAACTTAATTCAAATAAAAATAATGAGTTATACTATTAAAAATAGAAACGAAAGAAAATAAATAACTAAATTAATTAAAATAAAAATGAGTTATACTTTTAAACAATAAAAATTAAAGAAAATCAACTAATTAATTAAAATAGAAATTAATTAAACTTTTGAAAAATAAAAATGAAAGAAATTCAATTAATTAATTCAAATAAAAATTAGTTATACTTTAAAAAAATAAAAATGAAAGAAAATTATTTATTTAAAATTAATCATTTCAAATAAAAATGAGTATTTTCAAACAGTGAGAATATAGCCTGAGGATGGAAAATCGTTTCTAAACTTGTTTCTTTCTGTTTTAGTCTCTGGAGAGCACGCGCCGGATGATCCAGCTGGTGGAGGAGGTACCGAAACACACTTTAAAAACTCTCAGACAGCACATGAGACCCAGCGGGCAAATTTCCTACACAGATTTTTTTCCCTCGAACGCATCAGCTGAGGTTGCTCCCTTTGTGTCCCGGCAGAGTAAAGATGTGGGGATCCGGACGGTGGTGATGCTGGACGAGCAGGGAGGTAATCAGTGCACCTGAACGCACCACGAAGGCCTCCACTCAGGTTGTTCCTCCAAAGAGGCTTAGTTTCTTTTTCCATAATTACACCTAAACGCATCGTGACACCTGAACGCATCGTAACAGCTGAACGCATTGTAACAAAAAACGCATCGTAACACCTGAACCCATCGTAAGACCTGAACGCATCGTGACACCTGAACGCATCGTGACACCTGAACACATCGTAATACCTGAACGCAACATTACACCTGAACGCATCAATGAACCTAAATGAATCATGACACCTGAACGCATCTCAACACCTAAACGCATCGTAGCACCTAAACACATCGTAACACCTGAACGCATCGTAACACCTGAACACATCGTTACACCTAAATGTATCGTTACACCTGAACGCATCATTAGACGTAAATGAATCGTGACAC